ATGGCGCAATAGGCTTGTAGAAAATTGACCTTTGATGTTGTAAAATAACTTTAAATCAACCTTAAATGAGCAATTTTGTTTTGAATTTGTCTAGCTTTTATATAGAATTACAGTTTCTGAGATCAAAATATACTGTTTTACTTAAATAATCAATGGCACAATTTACCCCAATGTATTCTCTCCAAAGGCACAACTTACCCCACACCGGGGGCATGTTGTGCCATGGGACCACTTTTTTTCAGAAACCTATATTTCTTAAATACTGTATTTCAGATCCAAAGTGATTGTTCCCAGGGATGCACCACACCCTGAAATATATGTAGATATTTTAGTTGGAAGTATTACTGTCATGGCCTCGCTTTAAAGTCACTTTAAGTAAAAACTGGCACAACTCACCCCACTCTCCCTATGCACAAACTGCTTTATCTGTGTCTTTTCACTACATTGTACAGAAGTCCATAAAGGACATCCACCATTACGTTTTTCTGTCTTATGTCAAGGTCACAACTTATTTTTCTCATGATCGCAACATAGCCAAAGTTGTTTTTACAAGATCACAAAATAAATTCTTGGGAAAATAAGCTGTTATTAGACATATGAACAGCATTTGTCATGAGTAGGATTCCACTAAAAATGCCATGACTAATCCTATTGAATCCATACAGTTTTTTATTGCATTGCAAGATTATTTCAAATTTAACTAAAGAAGCAGCAGTAACCTCTCTGGCAGGAAAGAAGCCTGAGCTGGTGCAGGAGCTATAGAGATACTGACTAGATATAGTCGGACTCATCTGGATGCACGGCTTGGGCACTGTTACGGGTGATCAGGTCCCTGCATAAATGGAGCGAGAGTTTGGTTTGCATTGCCAGTAGTAAGACAGATTTGTTCCCGGTGGGTGTTGGACTCCACTGGGGCTGCCCTTTGTCACCAATTCTGATAACATTTATGGACAGAATTTCTAGACATAGCTAAAGGGTGGAGGGGGTGCAGTTTGGTGACCTCAGGATCGTGTCTTTGCTTTTTCCAGATGATGTCGACCTGTTGGCTTCATCAGGCTGTGACCTGCACTGAGGCGGTGACAAACCTAAGACAGGGAAACAAATGAAAAATAACCACCATGGAAACAGAAAGCCAAAAAAGACCAAATAACAGATGAGGCCGCCCTCTGGCCAGCCTGCAGCTCCTGACCAGAGGAGTAACAAAGCTGCACACTCAACCCACTGAGCTATGCAGCAGCCCAGGGATCAGGGAAAACAGCTTAGGCACACTAGGGCTGATAGGTCAAGAGACAAGGAGGGGGACAGGATGCTGCCCAATCAGGAGGGAGACACGAAGGACAGGGTTGGACAGCACTGACCCTGACATAGTGCAGTATCGGCAATTATGCGGATACTGTACCGTTCTGTCATGGTGAAGAGAGAGCTGAGCCGGAAGGCAAGCTCTCAATTTACCAGTCAATCTATGTTCCTACCCTTACCTATGGTCATGAGCTCTGGGTAATGACAGAAATAATGAGATTGCGGATACAAGTGGCAAAAACAAGTTTCTTCCACAGGGTGTCTGGGCTCAGCCTTAGAGATAGAGTGAGGAGCTCGGACATTCAAGAGGGTCTCTTCCACATTGAAAGGAGTCAGTTGAAGTGGTTCAAGCTTCTACTTGTTACGTCCAAAACACGCCTCTGAATAATTAAGAGAATTAGGACAACATTTTCCACCTTGCACTGGCACAAAGTCTGGTTTTTCCGTCAAAATCACAAAATGGATTTGGATACGTCCATAACTGTTAGTTCTGCTTTGCTCTTTACGCTTTGTGTTAGATCGTCCAAATATAGCCCTATATCTCTTGGCTGGCCTGGAATCATCTTGGGATCCCCCCAGTGGAGCTAATGGAGATGACTGCTGAGAGGGAGGTCTGGGTATCCCTGCTTAGACTGCTGCCCCCCCAAACCTACCCCATGTAAGCAGCTGAAAATGGATGGATGAATGGAACTATTTTACAATATCATGGCTAGACTTTGCAGTTTATCTTAAATTAGCAGAAAAGGTAACAAGTTATAATGTTAATATTATTGCATGTTAAAAAAAAAGGTTTTTAGCTAGGTTACATCTGTGGACCTTACAACCTAATGATAAGGAAGTGTAAAATTTCCATTACAATTTAGTATTACGTTGAAACTATTTGCGTGGTGCAGCCGATTATTTTTTAGTAGTTGGTAAACTCAAACTTGAGGCAGTTTACGTGCACCATAGGCTACGATTAATGCTTAGACAATTACGAACTATTACAGACAAAGGTAAACCAAAAGTCCAAGAGGTGTGCATTGTTTCCTAGAGCCCATGGATAAATGCACACTTTTCTAGATGTGCCTATCGTATTTAGTTTTAGAGCTATTAACCCATTAGTGTGTTGCCCCAATAGCATATTATATGGATACATATGCATTGTTCCCCAGAGTCCACTGATGAATGCACACTTCACGGGACATGCTTGTCCGATTTGGTTGTAGAGCTATTAACTCATTAGTGTATTGCCCCATTTCATATAATATAGATACAATGTAATAAATAATTAAATTCAATGGGTGTGCCTTGTTCCGTAGTGTCCATTGATGTGTCTATTAGATGTGTCTATCTTGTTTAGCTATTATAGCTAATAACCCATTAGTGTATTGCCCCCCATTGTGTATTAAATGGATAAAAAAAAATAAAAAATCGTACAGAAAGATAACCTCAAAATCCAAGGGCTGGGTATTGTTCCTCAGTGTGCACTGATCAAAGCACACTTTCCGGGACATGCCTATCCCATTTGGTTTTGCCGTCACTCTTAACACATCAGATGGTCCAGAATGCAGTGGCTAGACTGGTACTAAGAAGTGAGAGCACATTACTCATGTCCTGGCCTCACTTCATTGGCTCCCTGTTCTTTTTAGGATTCAGTTTAAGATCTTATTGATGGGTTAAGGCTCTCAGCGGGCAGGAGCCATCATATATTACCAACCTCATTCATTTACTGACCTCATCCAGCCCCGAGGTCACTTAGGGAAATAATTTGTTATGGTATTTAATCCAAGCTTAAAATGCTAAGGTTGTTTCACTACATATACAGTTTGTAGTTTAGCAAAAAAAGACATATGAAACAAGGTAGAAAATTGATGTATCTGCACCACATTTTGGCCAGATGAGCAACACCCAGTCTTGCAGATCAGTTATGGATTTGGAACATACAACCCTGATTTTAACTGGATCCTGGTAGATTCAGGTTTAAATCTGTTGTGGATCCATAATCCATATACGATCTGACCAAAGCTATTGGTACCTCGGAAAAGTAACATTCATTCACGTTACTTTTATGTGTACTGATTTTTAATGCTTTCCTGAGGCAATAGCTATGACCCTAAATAGGACAACTGCTTACAGAAAATGGATTAGATACAACTTCAGCCTTTTATATGACAGGAGTACAGCTGGTCCCCAAGCACCATACTTACTAGCATTAGCTAGATAACTATAGACAAACTATAGATTAACCTTTCCTGACTAATTATTCATCCATATAGAATCATGTAGACACATATAACTGTGTTATTTGGATAATAATGGGTAATTTGATTCTGGATAGAATATCTAGTTAGACAAAATTTCATCTATATATTAACCTTTACTGCACCCAGTACAAAATAAGTGGTATTTATTTGAAAACTCATTATCTAGAACTTTTATCATAACTTGCATTAGCACTAAAACCCACAGACACCAAGTTCATTTTGGGTTTCTGTTATGCAAGACAACAGTGATGCAACTGTTCCCATGGCTCAAAAATCTCAAGATGATACAGTTGAACTACATGTTCAGCTCCAACATATAAAGGGATGGTAGATGCAATGTTGTCAATGAATATTGTGCATTCAATTGCCATACGCTTTAAAAGGTAAATTAACATTTAAACTCTTTAACAGGGATACTTCATTCGCAAGTTTGATGTTTTTCCTAATATTTCAAAAGCATGTAAAAACATGGATACAGATGAGGTTTGTCATAAAAGTAATTTAAATGTTCATTTTCTTGTTCTTATTAATACATTAATAATACCTTTGTTATTAAACTATGAATATTGATTAATAAATATTAAATATTGTTTTACTATAATAGATGCAATAAAGTGCAATAAGAATAATTGTATCTGTATTAGAATTATCTGAATATTTGCACTTTACTGTATTTAATGAAAATGTATCCAAAAAGAGCCTGCATGATTATTCAAATGTATAATTCTTTCCTCTTTTTATTTTAGGAAAAACAAAATGGAAATAAACATCACAGAAAACAGGAGCATTTCCAGCTCTATACAGATTTTTTACTCATCAGTAAATAATAAGGTGGTGGTAGTGCAGGGGCTGATAGGACTTTTACTTTGTGTCAACTCTCTCATGATCTTTACCTTTATCAGACAGGAGGTGTTTCGAACTGACACACGGTACATTTTGTTTGCACAGATGCTGTTCCTGGACTCCACTCTGATGTTGATGACAGACTTGGCTGTTCTTGGTGCTTATTTCCAGTATCCACTTACCAGCATTCTGTGCGTTATACTTTGTGTCTTCATGGATGGGTTCACTTACGGCACACCCCTGACCCTAGTAGTCATGTGCCTGGAACGGTATGTGGCCATCTGCCTGCCTCTAAGACATGCTGACATCTCCAACCCTAAAACCAGGCTGATAGGTCTTCTCTTAGTGTGGCTATTCAGCTTCATACCTTCATTGACTGAATTATTTGCATTACTATCTGTGGCCCCATTCAGCTTTTGGTTCTCCTCAGCTGTCTGCAATTTCGATGTCATGAACTTGAGCAGTTGGCACAGCCTCCTAAGAACAGGAATATCTCAGCTGTATTTTCTGGTATTGTCTGCCATTACTACTTTTACCTACATCAAAATAGTGGTCGCCGCTAGACTGGCCTCCGCTGAGAGTAAGAAGTCTGCCTCTAAATGTCTCAGAACTGTCATTCTTCATGCCTTCCAGCTGGTTCTTTGTTTCATCCAGTTCTGGTGTCCGTTTATTGAATCAGCTGTCATGAAAATTGATATAACGCTATTTGTGAATGTCAGATACTCCAACTTTGTCTTGTTTTTGATCTTGCCACGCTGCCTGAGCTCTCTTATTTACGGACTAAGAGATGCAAAGTTTTTCCTGGCTTTGAAATACAATTTCTTTTTTGGGATGAATAAAAATATCTGCCCAGTTCTTGATCAGGGGACCTCCAATTCTAATGCAAATACGTGTACATAACCAATATGTTTACTTATTGAACTTTTATTCAAAGTACAGTACAATTGAGAAAACAGGGTCAGGATCAGCTCAAATTCTATATTTCTATATTTCTGCTAATGTTTTAAGCCTTACCCTGGAAGCTACTGGCGCAAGGCAGGGAACAACACAGCATGGGGCGCCAACCCATCGCTGGGCAGTGATCTCATATGCATCCATCCCATTCTCTGTAACCGCTTAACCTATTCAGGGTTTTTTTTTTTAGATATGTTGTTGTGCCACACACCCCAGCTTCATGTAAGTACATAAATAGTTTAATTAACTGCCTACTAAGCCACCTTGCCACTCCTTATGTTTACATATATGCAATGATAAAACATTAATTCTGACAATATTATTTCTATGTGAGGAATTCTGAAGACAAAAAACATCTCAAAAGGTGGTACATATTCTATGAAAATAGCTTCTTGGTCAGTTGCTGCCCTGTAAGTCTGTATATGACCAGTTCCTGAAAAATACAGTGAGCAGTATGTTCTGTAGGACATAAAATAGCTAAATAAAATAGCTTTGGATTTCCCTTATAGTGCTGACACAGTATGTTATGTATCATTATTCATAAAGCATGAGATTGAATAATAAATATGATAAAGAAAAATCTGTGGTTTTACATGCAAAACTATAAATATGAAAAATATGAATTTAAAAATACATTTTTATTGACGTGTAAAAATACATAAGAATCCATTTTTTTTTCAAAATGCATCCGCCTTTCTTATTAATTAAAAAAAAGGCTTAATTTGAAACTATGGTTCATGGTGAGCTGCAGAATACAGGTTAATGCCTTCCATTTTTTATTTACTGTAATGAAATCAAAGAGCTCGTAAGAAAAGCTAAAGAAGAAAAACACTCCACTGTAATATTTCTCTACTCAGGGATTAACTGTTAATAACTAATATGTCTGTTATGTGTATGCATTTAATTGTACTCTTGGGAGTTTTGTTTATTTCTCTTCAGAAGACAGAGAAAATAGATTTTACTCTGCAACCTAACAAAACTATTGCTTTTTCCCATAATAAGCTGAAAATACCAGGAAGAGCCTCTTGAGAGATTTGACACACCTGATCTGTCCTCCTCTCTAAAAAAGCAGAAATGGTAATTGCAAGTTCTTTGTTGCTGAAATATGAGCAATACATAAAAGTAACTTTTTCTAACAGTTTGTTCAAGAAAAAATCCAAAATGCACTGGTGCCACTCATCTGGACTCCTTTCCAATACAACTTTATACTTACATACAGATTTTTAACTTGCTAAATTAAGGATATCCCAATATTTTTAAAGTGACTTAAGCTTAAGGAGCAGTGTGGGGGCTCAGTTAGTGGCACTGGTGCCTCACACCAATAGGGATGAGCAGCTGAATCCTACCACTGCTCTGCACTTCGTTTGTCCTGCCCACGCTGTGCAGGTTTCTTCCTCTAGCCCGAAGACATGCTTGCCTACTAATTGCCCATCTACACTGCCCATAGTGGGCACTTCTGTGTCTCCTGTAATGGACTGGCAACATGTTCAAAGTGCTGCTAGAGAGGAAAAATTTGCAAAAAGCTGCATTCTGCCATATCTTTAATTTAAAACATGTACAGTGGCGCAGTGGTTATCGCCAGATAAGACTGGCCCTTGTGCGTGCTGGTGTTCACTGCAGCTCCCTAATTAGATTGCTAATTAGAGGACTGATTGGCTGAAGAGTCCTCACACCTGGGTTTGAACAGCTGACCTAAAGGTTATTCCAAAAACCTGCATACACACCAGCCCATTGTGGATAAAACTGGCCACGCCTGCTGTGTGATGATACGTTTAATGCAATACTTATTTGGTACAGTTACAAAATTGAATGCAGCAATATATTAGAGTTCTGATCAATGCTTTGTTTATGTTAATTAGCCACAGGTTAAATTATCATGGGAATTGTTTTGGAACTTCAATGTATCTGATTAAATGTTTTTTTTTGTGTTTTCCTCTGTTTTACAAAGAAACGCAATAAAAGGAAAACTTATGTGTGCTGCTTTATTTTTAGCTATTTGTCAGAACCTTGCCCAGTATGCAAGTTCGAGGGCAGAATACTAGGTGGTGCACAAGACTTCATGTATGGCATGTTCCTATGGTAGAGTTAAATGAACCTTTTTCATTTTTAATTAAACTTAGGACAGAACAAATGTTATACCCTTGATGAATAGATATACTTCAAGGTGTTTAATCTCGTGAATTGTGTTGTATCATTGTGGTACAAAGTAGTACATTACAGCATTATGAATTAGCGGGAGAGGCAGGTTGTGGAGGAAATGGAGACAGACACATTTTGGTTTTTTTTTTTAATTAAAGTCTTTAGATAAATAATTGGGCATTCATACTTCTGCCTTCCTAGACTGAGCCCCTCATACCTTTCATACATCACAATCAACTCATAGCTGTGGACACTTCCCAAGGGGGAGGTGACTGCAGAGGATGATGGGAAGGGGGGCGGGTCAGACTTACCCTATCCCCTAGCGCCATGCACTACTAATTTTTTTATTTTTACATTGAGGTATGACTGTACATTATGTTTGACTTTTATAATGTTTCTTCTAAGTGGTTATAGATCATCCGTGAACATTTTTTGCCTCTCTAAAATCCACAAATTTAATTCTGGTTTTTGATTGTTTGCTTATTCATTCCACCCATACCATATTATATCATTGATATTTCAGAATGCTGCCCTCGTCTGGTGGAACTTACACAGGAATGGTGGAGGGGGATGATGACACGTTTCACGCAGGCTGCCCAGTCCCAGCTGGAGAGGAGTTACGGGTCATTCCATACCAACTCACCTAGACCTGCCAATTTGTGTCATGGATTTTCCTGAAAACATGAGAAAATTTCCATTAAATTCATGGGACATTGCGGAACCTTTTGTTACGAATTTTAGTCTATTTGTGATTCTTGTTATGTGTATTTTAAGCATCACCAATTGTTTATTTTTCACTGGATTGGGAAGTAAAAGTACTGAACATCCAAGAAACCCTAAGGATAATTTGCCACATATATTCATGTAAATAGTTGTTGCTGAACGTTTTTCAGTAATCAAATTAATAAATATTACCCAAACAAAGAATCTTTAATTTTCAAAAATTAATATTGCCACTAGTTTTCACTTTCTTGCAACTAAATTTTGATTCTGTGCAGTATTGATACCACATCTAGAAGTTATTTGGTGCTGCACAAACAACTGAGTTCCACAGATCTTCCTAAATATAGTTTTGTATGTTAAATTATGCATATTTTGGCAGTATGTTTTCCCAAAAAGGATTATTCTAATTTCCTTGAAACTTTTTTTTATAGGAAAATGGCAATATTATTTGTGGATATATAAAAATTTAAGATATATTATTCCTTGTTACTTCAGTATCTCTGTAACTAACCTTATGATTAGTGCTACCTTTCACATTTTATTTTACCTAGTATATGAGGAACACTGTGAAATTTAAGCCTTCTATCTTGAATGATGTTAGAATATACACTTGGAGGCTATTGTACGAAAATAGTACATGTAGTAGAGTAGTAGACAATAGTACAGAAGTATTTAAAAAAATAATTTGGTAAAATGACAGCGAAAACCATCACAAATTTTGGATATAATATTAACAGAAATTTGCTCTTTCAAAAAAAAAAAAAAAACAATCTGAAATTGGTACATGGTGTCATTCATGGGACATATCACACTGAAGTTTTTCTTTTTCACTTTCAAGCTTTAATGTCTTGGAAAACATTCATCTGATTTATTTCACACAAAATATTGCATCTTGTATATGTGAAGTTGTAAAACATCAGTTCCCTACATTTAAAAATGTGGTTTCTTCAGGTCTTCAAGTTTGCTGTCAGAGGTCATACAATCAAATATTTTAGGAAATTCAAGCACTCCACATTCTATCTTACACTTAAGCTACATTCCTGAGAGTACAAATTCTTAAAGTCATAATCACAGGCATTTTTTTCCATTTATTTATCATTTTAGTATCTAGTTGCATATAGTTGCAGATATTTACCATATAAAATTAGAAGGAAGTAGTTGTAGTATTTTTCTAGATATTGCAGTTTTAAAATGGCCCCTCAGTCCATGATGCTAGAAAAAGGCCTTAAAAAAAGAAAAACTGAGAAAACTAACAAATTTTGTATTTTTTCTATTGGGAAGTATGTCTTCTCTCTGGATTTTTTAGGCCAATCTGAGGTGGTCAGATGTGAAGTTTCTGTTAAATCTGATGAATTGAGATGGAATGATCCATAGCATAAGAATGGTCAGGAGGTAGATGGTGCTGGGTCATGATATGATGATGTGGAACCAAGTTGAACCTTGGACAGTTCGTCTTGCTTTAGAAGCTGATATGTATATATTAAGATAAAGTTAAAAGCATGCATGTGTGGGGCGGGGTGGGGGTATGGGGTGGACTGGGCAGGCCATTAAGCATGAACAACTGAAAGTCTGAGTGACCCTTTCGTATTTTACCAGAGGGTACCCCCCCCCCCCCCCCAGCAAATTTGTCAAGTGCCTGTTTTCAATCACCAACAAACATCTACCCCTGGAAAAGTCTCTACTTGGCCGTGGGGGGGGGGCAGTCTAGAGGGATAACTAACCCTGGGCACAGAAATCTCAGTGGGAGGCAGATGGATGACTAAGCAATGAGTTTCTGCTGGAATTAACCATATTGATTAACCAAGGTATTAGAGAGGTCTAGGAACATAATTACCTGATTGCTTAAAATCCAGCTGAAGTTTAGTCACCAATACACTATATGTAGATATAGAACGACAAGTTCTAGTCCAAAGTAAGCTGTGCATTGCAAATATTTTCAGTTATTAATGAATTACAGTCATGAGCATGGCAGATGCGGGTGTTGCAACAACTAGATATGGTGGCACTATGGAAGCAGCACCAGGTCATTACAGTCTGCGAAACATTAAAGCACAGAGCAAAAGGAAATTCAAGGGAGCTTCAGTTAAATATTGGTTTTTTTAGTGAATTGTAGCTCAAGTAAACAAAATTTTTAAGCCATTACATTATTGTCCTAAAATATAAATGACATTACCACCATTATATTTTATCTTAGTCTGTGCACCTTCAGTGCCCTGTAACTGCATCATTTGCCTGTGACAAGCAGCTGTCCATTGATGCTGCCCAGTACATTTCCTGTATCACACAGAGGCCAGTAAGAGGATGCATTAACATGGCCAGGAGTTCCAGCATCGCTGCAGCTTGGATCGCAATGAATGAGAGCGAGGGGGGGCCCTGCATCTGGGACCACATGGGGAACAAGAGTCCACCTCTGGTGGAGCAGTGCAGGGAGGGGGGGGGGGTGGAAAGAGAAGCTCCGACCAGCATGCTGGCCCCCACATCAGCTCCTCCTTCCTGGTAACTGTGGCCCAGGACAGCCGGTCCTGTCATATGCTGGGCTGCTTTCTGTGCCAGTTTTGTAAAGATGGCTCCCGAGCTCCAGTTTTGTTTTTGTTTTCTGCTTTTGTTTATAAATTTGATTGAAAACAAAACTTTGAATACATTTGCATAACAAACCTGACACTTTTGTTTTGTGACTTTGAGTAATGATAAGGATCTAAAAAATTGCTCAGGGGGCTCTGTTCTTACTGCTTTTTCACAAAAGCGAAAACTGCCATCCTTTTTCTCTACACTGTGTAGGAGAACGCTCCATACTGTGCTGTTCGAGAGTGACCTTGATGCAGAGACAGGGGATCCATTTGTTCACTTGTCAAAACACATATTTGTTAAATATATAGATATCAGAGTGAGTGACCTGCCAGAGCAGCATTACTCGGTAAAAGCAGCCATCCTGCCCCAGATATGCAGGGACCCTGGATACCCTGCTTTAAGCTGCCTGCAGCTGGACCAGTGACAGTATGAGGGCTGAGGGGGACAGTGTGCTGCCGGGAGGGAGGTCTGTGACTGGACTCCCTGACCCAGACACCTACGTTTCCCCATGCAACCCAGACACAGCCACATTCCCCAGAGTTTGCCCCTGGGCTACCAGGGAGAAATCCCTCTTCATTCATTTTACCATTTTCATAAAATGCACTTCTTGTTTCCTGAAAGATTTGCTGTATATTACAAATTTGTTATTTGAATTCTACATTTTCTATAACTTTCTGCTTTATGCTCAATTTTTTTCTGTCATGAGGGCTCACACCAGAGGCCGAATCAAAGTTGAATAGGAATTTTGTTTACATATTAACAATACCTTTAAGATTTATTTTAAATAGGGATACAATATGCTCAAATCAACTTCAAATCAATATCTCAGGGAGAGACATATGGCTTATAAACCCAACAGATCCTTAATTCTCTCAAACTTTAGCAAAATGATACCACAAACTGCAATATAAATTCACCCTTGGTCTACTAATGAATAGGTCTTTAATTGTCATGTTGAACTCACTGTATTTGTGTTTTAGAGAAAAGAGGATAAGAAAGTGGGACAAGTGGAAATTTTCTGTTTAGTCACATAGCTGACGCCAACTAAATTCATCAGTTTTTATATAACTTGCACATTTACTTTTGAAGAGCTGGATATTTAAGAAATATGTTTTTATTTAAATATGAAAACAGAACCTGCAATTATGGATAAAATGTTAAATCAACTGAAGCCTAAATGTCTTTTTTAAGACTTTCCTTTCAGTATGAGTTTATTGCTTAGAACTATAACACTTTGGAAGGTATTAGTAATGAGAATCACTCCCCTTAACAACCATTGCTACATGTGGTTTGTTGATCAAAAGTAAAAAACAGTCCACATGGCAGTTTATTTTAACATTTGCAATTTCTTGGTTTACTCAACAGTGTTACATAAAGGTATAAATTAGATACCATACCATTATCACATCGTTAACTTGGTTTTTGCACATAGTGTTTGAAGCAACTAGGTAGTTTTTCATTTGACTTTTTCTATTTTCCGCTACTTCAACATAAATGGACAATGTTCGATACAACAAGTCTTTACAAAAGATAACAATACTGTTTTGGTACTTTCTTTTGCTATACAACTCAAAAAGGAATTCTAGAGTTTCCACTTTATTAAAACGGATGTGCTTTCTTCTGTATATGAAGCCTTTAGTGCATTACACTGAGGCCAACGTCACACTGTAAAATTATATAGAAACACAAATTCTACAGATGTCTGGTGCTCTCTTTTGGTGAAAATACTGCACTAAAGGCTCTCGCCATCTGAAATCTGTTTCATGGGAAAGACTTCAAGATCCTGAAAATTCAGGGGTGGCTCCAAATGAGTTAACTTTTATTCATAATTTTATACAGTATTTTGTCTTTTTCTTCTTAAAAACCAACTATGAAAAATGCATAAAGACTCACCAATTGCAACAGAACACAAAAAATAAAATAAAAATGACAAGACACTGCAAAGTGGAAAATAGAGAGGATGAGGAATAAGCAAAGTAATCCCTGCATTCATACAAAGGCAAAAACCGGAGTAAGCATATGGCACTACAGGGTCTAATTCATTGTCATAACAATAACAATAATCATATTAAAATAACAGCAATGACTTTATAAATTATTTTTCCCCATTTAAGATCTCTGAACATTTGTAGCTGAAATGTCTGCATGGTACTGGTTGTCTTTCCATCTAGCGATGAGCATGGGATGATGGAAATCTTCTCCAAATCTAAGGCTGTGCTGCAGTGGCTAGATTGAGCCAAGGCATGGGGATGTCACAGTGGCATCAGTTACTTGGTTCAGGAACTATTAGCAACCTGGCAACACACTGCAACAACAAAGGATAAAATGTCTCTTTATAATGTCACAATGGTCTTTCTATTAAATAAAATAAACTGAAAAGAATCGTCTTTCTTTTTTCCTAGTCATACTACAAATAGTATCTTATGACTAATTTCTAAAAATCTAGAACAGCTGAGAAAAGTAAAGACATGCCTTACCACTGGAATCCCTCTTTGGCCTCTGTAAACTTCTGACGAATCATGAAAGTTGCCAGGGCATCTGCTACCTGCAGAGGCAAGAACAGGTGACTAAGCAGCATGGTGTGTGCAGATGTATTTCTGATGTACAGCAACAACTAGAGTTCATGTGGAAAAACACCTTAATACACAGAACCCCAACCACCACACAAATAATAATACTGGCATCAGATATTGAACAAGGTCACTGCAAATCTAAAATTGGTATAGGAAGAGCATCTTATACCCAAAGCAACTGCTATATATAAAGCTGAGGTCTAGAAAGACAACAAGGATTATTGGGTCCTTCAATACCAAATTTAGCCCAATTGGTTTTGTCCAAGTTTATCCAATCTCTGAGACTGAGGGAGGCTATTGCTTTATGTTTTAAGACACTGATAAAAGAAATGCTATACAAACAAAAATGCTTTAGAAATGCTTCAGAAACAGTATCCATGAAAGTTGCAGGTTGTAAAAAATGCTGAGACATGAAAGTGCTGTACAGTAGTGTTTCTCGGACTGGTCCTCGGACCCCCAGCGGTCCACGTGTTTCCTCCCTCTGAGCTCCCTGCCAGACAGACCACGTTTTTTCTCCCTCCCAGTTTCCAGTAGGATGTGGACTGTCTGGGGAACCCCAAGGACTGGGTGGAGAAGCACTGCTCTACAGAGCTAAAGACGCAGTAAGTGTCAGCACTGATGACCCCAGCTGTTTTAAGCACTGCAGAAATGTTTGCTCACTTTTTCAGGTGCATCCTCGTGAACCGCATGGCCACACTGGGGAAGAACCTGCATCTGGAATTTTCCTATAAGGAAATTCACATAATGATCTTCAGCCTTCAAATCAAACAGCATCAATTAGCCTGTAATTCTCAAGCCCTCTATCTATAGTGGGTACTGTTCCCAGGGTAAACATTTAAATCATGGTTTTAAACCTAGCCTTTGGTTTAAAACTGCAATTAAATCCACTTATTAACCAAATACGTACTCAAATGTTATGCACATAAAAATTTCTTGAGGTTGTTCTTCATGGAAATTACATTAAAAGCAACTGTTTTGTTTACTTGTGACCATAAAACATACAGTTCCAAAGCTGGTTGATGGAAAACACCAAATTATTACTTTAATAAGTTTAGTAACCAAATGCATATCAAAATTAAATATTCGATTCTCATTAAGGAATCAGATCATTTGAAAACTGGACTGGAATTTGGTTTTCAGGGATACAAACAAAAATTTGAACCGACTCACGTTTTAAAGTAAATTAGTTTGGAACTCTTAGTAGACCTGAAATATCAATCAGCTAGTCAAAATATTTTTAAAGCATGAAATACAAATCACTGCAGACAAATTTGGAATGACTTACATTATCGTTACATAAGAGCTTAAGCTGAAGTAAACCTTATCCCCTTGGAAAGAAATAAAGTGCCTTACCTTGCATCTGTCCAATTGTTAAATCTTTGTCCAGTCTGTCAACACCTAAAAGAAAGTAGATTGGTGCAGTTATTCAGTAGAATTCATCCATCCATCTATCCATCCCTTAATCCTGGTAGAAGTCAAAAGGACTTCTACTTAGGATACCAGTCACATAAACTTACATATATAATCATACAGCCTGCATGGGATACCAGTCACATAAACTCACATGCATAATCGTACTCCACGCGATATGTGAGTGTAAACTGCACATACAGAGCCATAGGTGGCACCCCTAATCCTACTGTGAAACAATAGGGCTCTGCACTGAGCCACTATACTACCGTACTAGTTTATCATATTGTTTGAAATGTTTGCCTACCTGCCACATTAATATGTATTGTACAAACTAAATCCAAAATGCAAGTTTAAAATTACTTATTCAATCATTCATTCATTCATTCATTCAAGCTCCGTCGCTTATCCAAGGTTTTGTCATGGGGACAACAGTCTCAGTAGGGATGGCAACTCTCCCTCTCCCTGTTAGTTATACAGTGGTACCTCAGTTCTCGAACTCATTAGATGATAGACAGAAATGATAGACAGTAACAGTAATTATTATTATATAATAAAATACATTATAAAATAAAGATTTCTTATTATTTTTATATTAATAATAAACCATTAATACATTTAATTATAATAATATTGTCGTGTTGAGTGGGGACGGAATGGAGACAAAGGTGCAGACGTCAGGGTATCGGGGAATACGGGGTTTAATTACAGGTAAGGCAGGCAAAACGCAGACGGACAATACAATGACCGGACTGGGGAAACAAACTGAAACGCGGACGAAATACAGAGGGCTAATGACAACAACCAGAAACAGCTGATCACAAGGGGATTCCACACGGGGTTAATGAGGGGGCGTGGCACACGGAAGGAGCGGACGATCGGGGCAGAACACATTGGTTTTTTTTTTTACTTTACACATTGGATACATTTTCTTACTTTACTAATTACTGTTTTGAGAAATGTGCTTAGATGTGTTTAGTATAGTATAAGCTCTTCTTGTTTTATCCAGTTCATTTTGTGTTTAAATGCTAAAAAACTTATTTAGGTGTAATTTTTTGGGGCTGGGAACTAATTAATTGGTTTTCCATTATTTCTTATGGGGAAAATTCGATCAGAACCCGAACTTTTTAGGATTCGATCCGGAGTTCTTAACGGATTAAGTTCAAGTTCTGAACGGATTAAGTTTGAGTTCTGAGGTACCACTGTACTTCAATTCCTGAATTATTAGATTGGACTCAGTAGGTTAATCAGGTAATTGTGCTAAATATTGCCAGGAGCCACAACTTTGAATCCCAGTCCGATCGATCGATCGATAGATAGATTCCTTTAATTGTCATTGTACAAATATACAACGAAATTACATTGCACCCACATAAAAAAAATACGGCTCCTAAAGTAAACTAAATAAACAGAGTAATAAATAAGCATAAATTAAGAAGAAATTGGTCACACACATAGTAATTTTAAAAGTACCAGCCATGTACTGTTAACATAAAGTAGTAACTGGCACAAAATAAGAATTCGTGTCATTCCAAAATCAATGTTTTAGTGACTTCATAGCGTCATTCAGGGTGGTGATGGCCTTTGCGTAAAAACTGTTCAAGAGTCTTGTGGTGTGTGTTTTTATTGTCCTGTATTATCTGCCTGAAGGCAAAAGTTGGAAGAGACTGTGGGCAGGGTGGGATGAGTCCTTTATGATATTTGTTGTTTTGCGGAAGCAACGGGAGGTGAAGATACTTTCCAGGGTAGGTAGAGGTGTGTTGGTTAGTTTCTCTGCAGTTCTGATTACTCTCTGCAGGGCATTTTTTGTCAGCTGCAGAGCTTCTGCTGTACCATAGGTCAGGACACTCTCGATGGAGCAGTGATAGAAAGACACCAGCAGATGGTGTGGCAGGTTGATTTTCCTGAGAACTCTCAGGAAGTACAGTCTTTGCTGCGCCTTCCTGATCAAGCAATATGTGTTATTTGTCCACATGAGGTCCTCCGACATGTATGTGCCCAGGAACTTGAATGTTGACACCCTCTCCACAACTTCCCCATTTATCACCAGAGGCTGGTGATTCACCATTTTCCTCCTAAAATCAATGATGAGTTCCTTCGTTTTCTTGGTATTTAAAACCAGGTTGTTAGCTGTCAATCTATGAACATCCTCCCTGTATGCCATCTCATCTCCACTGCTGATCAGGCCCACCACAGTTGTGTCATCGTCGAATTTCATAATGACATTAGTATTGTGGGTTGGATTGCAATGGTATGTATACAGGAAGTACAAGAATGGACTCAGGACACAGACTTGTGGGGCTCCTGTACTGAGAACAGGGAGGAGGAGTGGTGGGGGCCCATCTTGACAGACTGTGGTCGGTTGGTTAGAAAATCCTGTATCCAAAAGCAGATGTTATGGTGGATGCCTGTCGGACATTTTGTCGAACAGTCTGTTTGGAAGGATAGTGTTAAATACAGAGCTATAGTCCACAAATAACAACCTTGCATATGTTCCTGGCTGTTCCAGGTGGACCAGAAGGGTATGAAGAGCAGTGGAGATGGTGTCATCTGTTGATCTATTGGTTCTGTATGCATATGGATGGGGGTCCAGTGTTGGTGGGAGAGCAGCCTTTATATGTTTCAGCACCAGTCTTTCCAGACACTTCATAATAATAGGTGTTAATGCCACTGGCCTGTAGTCGTTGAGGTTTGTTATTATGGTCTGTTTTGGTAATGGCACTATTATAGAGGTTTTTAAAAAGGCAGGAACAGAGCACAGTGACAGAGATGTATTAAAGATGTTTGTGAAAACCTCAGCCAGCTCCATGGCACAGTCGCTTAGCACTTAGTACCAAGGGATGCTAGATTAACCCTCAAAACAGGATCTCAATTTATTGATTATTTGAAAGAATGAGACAGCATAGTCTCTGTTCAAACAGTAGTACCTTTCTCTCTCCCAAGTGTAACAATCAGCCTTCCCAGGAATTAATATTATATCCATATTACAGGGATCAGGCTTGTGACTTTTGAGAGCTTCGGATGTTCGCACTTCAGAGAGTTCTTACCTGCCAGAAGAAGCAGTTTGGGAATGGAGCAACTGAGGAAGAGGGCCGAGAGACCTCTGAACCAGCCATCCCAGTACTTCTCAGTCTTAGAGAGCTCAATCCTCCAGGTGAACAAACACTCCTTCTTCACCTGTGCACAACACTGTACTAAACATAAATGCTGTATGTGTACAGTACCAGTTAAGCTTGGACACGCCAAGCCGCCTAGAAAGGAGAGTGATAGTGTCGCTCACATGACCTGGCCACCTGACCTACACTCAGCAGAAATGGTTTGGGAGGAGTTAGAAAAAGTGGCCAATGAGTGCTCAACAGATGTGGGATCTCCATCAAGACAGTTGGAAAAGCATCCCAGGAGGCCACCACATGGAACTGCAGAAATTAAGGTCAGCAGTTCCTGGAGCAACTGAGGTTAAGGGTCTTGTTCATGGGCCCAATGGTGAGATTACTCTGACGACCACAGGATTTGACCTGGGAACCTTCTGAGTCCCAACCCATAGAGCTGCCCCAAAAATTTTTTTGGTCAGTGCATAATTCCATCAATGTTATTTCATAGTTGTGGTGTCTTTATAATTATTCTTAAAAATAGAGAATAGTACAAATAAACCTTTCTATTGGTAGATGTGTCCAAATTTTTGGACTAGTACTGTACATAAAGTGCAGATGCTCCTCTACTTATGAACGAGATATGTTCCAAACGGCCGTTCGCAACTTGAAATTTTCGTAAGTCGTTATTAAATATCATTTTAAGGGTATACGCAAGTACAAAGAATTAGGATGCTGGGAGTACGCACGCTACGCTGCTGCGTGGCGAGAGTAGCGGCCAGAAGTCGCACTAGGCGGAATTTGGACTTACAGTCCTCTTCGTTCATATGTCTGAAAGTTCGTAAATTGAAAGTTCGTAAGTAGAAGAGCGTCTGTAACTGTAAAATTACAATGAAAAGAGAAAATGAAGCAAGCTAATGAGCTTGCTCTTTTACTATGGTATTTGGGAGTACTGGAAATTAATAGTGGAAGCATTACCTCTTGGTCATCCTCCTTCTTTCTTTTGTGATCAGATTCGCCTCCATCTTCATCCTCCTCATCTTCCTCAATAATTCCTTCAACTATGCACTTTGATACCCCAGGACTGGAAACAGGCTCCTCGCACCTGAAAAAAAAGTCATAGTTCTCAGTGAAAATGGGCGCGCAGAGGTTTGTACCCCAGAACTTGGCTCTCCTGGCCATTATGACTTACCTCTTGACTTGTCCCACCATGGAGACACGTGCAGACTCCATGTTTCGGATCTGCCCACTTTTCACACTGTCAGAAAGGAAAGATTAAAAAAAAGACATCTAGGAAGTTTTGCTTTTAAATTTCATGAGAATGTTGGTGGGTACTTATTAAAAATAAAAGACAGAGATAAACTTTAGTAGAAACATGTAAAATAACTTTAAGAGAGATCAACAAAAATGCATGGTTTTAACTGAACAACCAGCTTCCCAACCTCACCTCCACTCAATAGCATTCTCTAGTGACTTGAAGGTTTTTGGTCGACTTCTCAAAAAATTCTGCATGCTGTTCAAGGCATCCATAGCTGTGCCTGTAAAGTATGTTGCATCATAAAAGCAATGATTACTACTGTCTCCACCTTTCAAGGTAACAGGAAGTACTAAGAGCAGCAATGAGTCCCAAATGCACAGAATAGCAGAATATTTGACTATTCAATTCAATTAAATTCTTTCATTGTCATGTGCACAAGTACGAGTACCGTGTGCAATGAAATGCTTGCTTGCATGTGCTCCTGCAGACAGTGAACATAGACAACAAGACGACTAGACAACAGGATGACAAGTGAATGTAATGATGAAGTGAATTATAAATAAGTAAATAAATAAGACCAGAATCCCAGGAATAAATAGAGACATTGGCAGAAATATATGTGTGGGTAGCAGTGGAGGTGACACTAAAGCTTATAGACAAAAATGTAAACACAATAAAGTTCACAAAATTCCTATACTCCTTTTTAGCACGGAAATTACCTTCAACCACATCAATCACACAAAGGCCTATTAAAGACGGCACATGATTGGCTGCTGCCGTATGGACAGCTATTGCCCCGCCCATGCTGTGGCCGATAATCATGATTGGTGGAGCATTTTCTCCATATAGTGCTTCAACCACCTTTCCAACATCCCTGGAAGAAACAAATCAAATTCTGTCTATATGTCACATATTTGCATTTTATCCCTCCAAAGTGCATCATCTGAGCCTCAGTAATATACAATATGCCTGATTTGCCCCCTTCTTGTTTGCTTAGTGTAAAAAAGATTATTTTGGTGGCAATTACATTTTCTTAAAAAGATTTAATTTCCACATCAGGAAGCATCCACAGCATATGGCAAACAAAACAGATGTTGAATTCATTGTCCCCAGGAAAATATGATGCCAAAGCCTCATCGTCATTCTTGCTAACTGTTCAAACTAAAGGTGAATCTGTCACCTGCCATGTACCCCATTCTCCCTTCATAAATAACCAAATATCCTCAACCTAGATGAACTTGCATCACTTACTTGGCCATGGCTTCTGCTGAAAGGTCTTCAGGGTTTTTTACTTTTGAATCTCCTGTTACAAATGAACACAGTCATACTAATCTCAGAAATCCCTTCTCCAGTCCACGTGGCTAAAGCAAGACTACTTATGTGCAAGATCTTTCTATAACCACAAAGAGATTTCATATAGATGTATATGAGGTATACCATGCATGTAAATCTATTGTATTAACACTGAAGGGTCCCCCACATCCCCAGAACAGTAAAGAGTTACTATTTACATATTTAATAGTTCTCTGCACATAATCCCTACAGTTAATGTCACACAAGCACATATTTCCCTACTATCCTGTTTACTAAATCTTAGGCTAATGCAAAACTATCACTGGCCATGAAAATTCAGAGTGGGGAGCATAGAACACTGTGTTTTGATATTGTCTGAACATAGTTTACTGCTGTCCCATTTGAAAGCAGGACAGTACACAGTGGGAGATTCAACTACCAAAAAAGTCATTAGATGACAAGTGCACCAAAAAAGGGAAAGTTAGGGTGACCAGAAGAGCGGCTTCCTCACCATGTCCCCTGAGGTCCATGGCCACCACTCTGCAGCTGATCCGAGCACAGATTACAGACTAGAGGTGAAGAGCAAAGAGGAGTGTGCATTATGCCAAGACAAACAAACAAACAAGGAATTCTAATATAATACAAGATAAATTAAGTATGTATAGACTGGAGAAAATAAATACATATCCACAGACACAAGCAGTCATATGCAGTGCAGGCTAATAACACAGCCATGAAGACAGTGCTTACACCGACAGATTTTACAGTGGGTCCACACTGTCCGTCCCAAAATAAAAAGTCACTGGTTTTGACAGCAGCATGTTTCACTAGTTGCACTATACATGTCTGTACTTTCACTAGCCATGGGATAGAAGCCTATCATTTACTTAGCTCTTCCAGCAATCTAACAATTATTTCTGCCCAGACAGATAAGCAAAGAACCCCTTCATGTCTTTATGCAGAAAAGAGAGTAACTCACTGTGAACACGGCCCATGAGAGGGCAGAGTGCCCACCACCATGTAACAGCAGAAGAACAGGCCCTTGTGAGCCGCTGCTGTAAACACGAAAAGTGTACAGAGTTGTCAAGGTTACAAACAAGGGTGTAGGGTGTTCCAGCCTTGGAAATTATCATATTTAAACAAATACTGATATAGGAAAACACAAAAAAGGATATATCTCTGCTACTGTCATTTTGCACTTCCACATCATCCATTGCTTCAAAGTACTTATTCCAGGGCAGGGGAGAAAAGTCTTTCTTCCTTCCAGGTCTGTAACATTGATAAAGGACAGGTATGGAAGGAATTCTAGTATTAGTTTAAAAAAAAAAAAAAACAGGTCATTGTCGTAATACTGTGCATTGCCCGACTTCTGAATGCTTGCATTGGATATCACTGTAAACCAGTGAATTAAAGTACTTGCAATATTTATTTATTTACCACGTTAACAGGACTAAGGAAATGCTCATGCAAAATATATCAGGAATCACAGATTGCAAGCTGACCAAGATTATGATGACATCAAAATCCTTTAAATATACTGTAGTCACAATACTTTTGGTGTTCCGTGCCAATATAAGTTACATACCACCTATCTCTAACAGGCAAGGAAGGATATTTATGACCGACGGATATAAGGAATATACACTTATGCTTGAAGTTTGCATAACTGTTTAACACAGCTCTCCGGTGTAACGAACCAGTAAAGCACTATTAACCAGATGTGTGGATTTCAGATGCTTCTGGATTATCTCGAGACCTGTATTTATCAAACCACCTTCTATAAGTATCAAACTCTCAATACAGTTATAATTCATCGGAGGCAGCTAAACAGCTGCAAATTTAAATACTGTTGTAATTTATAGGGTAATATTTAGGGTATATTTTATGTAGCACACGAAAAAAGATCAATTCGAAGATATTTTCCAGTATATCATTATTAATCAGCTGATCACTTTCGTCTAAGAGACAAGTAACTCACCCCATTCGCATTCTGGATCCGGACTGCAGACCACCTGCCATAGGCGGTCTAGTTGCCAATAAATTTAAGTGCAATTGTTTTTCCATGAATAAAAACTATTTTCTTTCCACAACACAGGAATTCCACCTAACAAGGTATATCGCTCCCAACGTAAGTTGCAGATGACAAATTTTTCCGTACACAGCCAAAGTACCGTCCCACACCGTTGTCAAAGCGCGGAATTCTAGGAACTGTATTAATTCACTGGCACAACTTCCATTAAAACAAACGGACTGTGAACCTTAATCAACTACAGTTCCCATGATGCTTTGTAAATTACTATGTAGACTCGGAAATGTGACGTAATTGGTTTGCTCGTGAGGGACGTGAAAACAAATTGGACAGAAACACTTCGGAATACATATATCTGGAAACCGCTGTTAACACCAGTGTATTTTTTTTTCATCTAGTTTTACAAAGTAGTGTTATACCTCTGAAATGTGTACCTCTGTGCGGCACAGTGGTATTTGTCCTGGTACAGTATCGCTCTAATATGAATTGTATATTGCAGAATAATATACCAATTCAGCCGTTTAAGTGAATTTAGATAACGCCCCCCCCCCAAAAAAAAAAAAATATATATAGTATTTATTATATATATAATTTTTGTTGCACTTTTTCTAGGAACTAACAAATTATAAATCCAAGTGGCCACAGTAAACGCTTTTAACACTTTGGTGCAAACTATTCGCCTCATTTACACAAAAGCATCTGATAAATAACATACTGGCCAGAAGCGTTTCTTCCCCTATCCCACAATGCAACTGGAAACAAACAGCGGCAGTTACGTGAATGACGGCGGGACGAAAGAAAATGTCGAGGACGCTTTTACTCGTCGTCCGTGGAAATTTCTTCTTATTTTTTTTTATGTCAAAGGCAGTCTGCCGGAATGAAGCATAAGAAGCTGCAATCCCCCAAACCTGGATGCAAGAGAAAGAAAGGTATGTTAGATGGTAGTACTGCTGATGACCGATGGTCTTCTGTTTATAGTTACCAAGTAGGGCTGATCTTGTTAGCCAGCTGCTTAAGTGGCTAAACAACAAATGTTCATAAACTGTTCCTACTAACCACTTATGGTGACGTTCAGATTTAAGATTATAACAGAATCACTTACAGTAGGATGTGGGGTGTTTTGAGTTAATTGAAGTAATGCACGCATGAAGAGTTTTACGAACACTCATTTTTTTCTGGTTATTAAACCACTTTCCTGTCAGTGCACAACTAGTTATCATACAGTAGTTATAAAAATACAGCTCTTAGGAAACGATGAAAAGCGTCCGTGCTCAGTCACTGAGTAAGGATACCATTAAGGTACTATTGCTTTATATTGTTTTTAATAGTTTGAATGTGACTGCGGTAAAGTTGGTTTCATATTTGGGTATTTTCCGTCAACAGCTTACGAAAGGAAAGAAACATTAACATTTAGACTATTGATTATTAATCTTCTATCAAAGGGTAATCAGCTCCTCATAGTTATTTACAGGAAATACTCATCGTTCGTTCTTTTATGAAAGGTTTTTCTATGAATATGCAGCGAATATCATATCTCGGCGGATTTTAGCCTTTAGTGACCGTGTATAAAGTGTCGCACAAAAGAAAGTGTGTAATCATCCTGTTTAAAACCAAAGAATTGATAGCCAAAGTGGATTATTAAAACAATTAATGGATTCATAACGGATTAATCAATTCTTCCAAAATAGTTTTCCTATACATCAGACCTCCTCTAAAAGACCTAGTCCCCCTCTGATTCTGTAGGCTCCTAAGTATCATTAATTTTATTAATGAAATAATCATTTGCTTCTACATGGCTTACCATAATGCTTTATAACAAGTTGCTGTACATCAGAAATCCTCTAGAGAACCTGCTCCCCGTCTCCTTTTGTCATTTTAAAAAAGGATTTTTCTAAAGCAACTTAGTTTTCGGGGGGGAAAGACAAGATGGAGGGTTGAGTGGCTGCACTGTGTAGAGCTCTGACAAAACAGTCCCAAGTTTTTCTTAGAGGTAACTTAAACTCTCATCGAAACTATGAAAAAAAACTACCTCAAACCTTGTTAAAGCACCCAAGTTGAAAATCAACTCCAAAAAGAAAGAAGAGACTTCATCCCACGTCGAAAGGAAAGAAAGTCATCAAGATATGGACCACGACTACACATTGGAAGAGGCTACGGTAAACAAAAGAGAACGTGGAGCGGAATCAGCCCCTTCAACTCCAAATAAGACGCCTGTGGAAAAGAGGGCCAAATCAACTGAAAGTGGTGAGTGTGATGATATATCTCTCAAACACATAATGAAAGCAATCTTAACACTCAGTCAGAAGGTGGATACTGTAGTTACACGTCAGGGTATTACAGATGGAAATGTAGAAAAGGTGGACAAGAACCTAGCTGACCTGAAACAAGAAGTCATTCAAAATAATGCCATGATTGCTAACTTAGCAAAGGCTGTGGAGTTCAACTCTGAAGAGGTTAAAGACTGTAAAGCCAGAGTGAAAGAATTAGAAAAACAAAATGAACAGATAAGTAAAGAAAATGTTGACCGTAAAATGAGACTGACGGAATAGGAAAGATACAGAATGAGGTGGTCCGTTCGCATCACTGGCATTGAAGAAAAAAAAGATGAAGATATCAGGGCACAAGTTATTCAGATCCTCAGTCGGGCTGTTCCTGATTTCGGCTCAAAGCTGGAGGATGCAGTGGATGTTGTGCACAGAATGGGCAAAAAGATGGATAAAAGACACAGACCGGTCATCATTCTTTTTACTTTCAGACGAGTGAAGGAAGAAATTTGGAAAAGAAGCAAAAACTCCACTTTCTTAAAAGAAAACGGCATCAGATTGACTGAAATGTTATCGAGAAGATCTGGAGGAAAGAAGATGACTCTGGCCTCAAATAGAAGAAGCCAGGAAAGCTGGGAAAGTGGTATATTTCCGTGGTCCCTTTGGACACATTGAAGGTCGTCAGATCTGAAGTCCTGTTTTTTTTAATCTATTTTTCTATTTTCTTACTGTGGTTTTGAAAAGTGTAAATAGGTGACGGGACTTTAGAGCATTCTACATTGAAGGTTATCCAGGGTTCCCCCTGGAGTTTGATTTCAATTCTTCACTTTTCTTTGTATTTTTGCTTCTACTAATCAAATTCTTCACTTTTTTTCTGCATCTGTTTTTTTTAGTCACTCTCTCACCGCTTCTTAATAAATTAATCATTAAACTCACTGAATATACATCTCTTGTTCATTAAGCCTTTTCCTTATAATGGGCGTCAATGTAGGGGAAAACGCTTAACGTAGTATAAAGTCCTTATTCTTAGCATTTCGGTTTAGATTTCTTGTCAGGTGAAAGTGTTTATGACCAGATATATGCGTGAGAAATATAGTGATTTTTGGTGGCTGTCTTGGTACTTTAAGTTACATTAAGACTTTTCCTTATAATGGGCGTCAATGGAGGGGAAAACGCTTAACGTAAAATAAAGTCCATATTCCTTGTATTTCGGTTTTGATTTTTTGTCAGGTGAAAGTGTTTATGACCAGATGTGTGTGTGCGAAATTTGGTGACTATTGGTCGCTATTTTGGCACATTAAACCACATTAAGCATTTTCACATTAAGCGTTTTAGAATGTCCCCACACCGATCGATAACATTTGCTACGTTTAGAACGGCCCATGCTCATTTGACATGGATGATCGACGATCGTGTGTCCGGGGCACCGGGCCAGTTTTGATTAGGCCCTACGGGTGCTACGGTTGAAAATTGGGGAAAAAATGAAATTCGACTTTTCAAAAATTCAAAATTCGTCATTTGAAAATTGAATTCGCCAGAGTGACGATTTGATGCCGTTTTTCTTCGTCACCATGGGTTCCGTTTTCGTCAATGACGAGAGTGACGAGCGACAGCGGGAACCCTGGTTATCTAATTACTGGTTGGTTAGTTTATTCCTTTTATTCTCAGGGTGCTTTTTTATTCTTTGAACACTTCTTTTTTATGATGAACAATAATCTTATAGATATGTGGAGAACATTAAATCCAGGACTAGCAGAGTTTTCATGGATAAAGCCTAATGGAGAGAATTAATCCAGATTAGATTATTGGTTAATCACTGATAAACTTTTGAGATACACTTCATAGTCACTCATTTCAAAAGCACCTTTATCTGATCACTGCTTTATAAGTTTAATTTTAGGACCTATGGTAAAACAGAATAGACATAAGGGTTTTTGGAAATTTAATGCAACTTTATTGAATAATGAGGAATATTGTAATATGATTAGAGATATCATTAAGACTGCTGATAAGGATTCAATTGAGGATGACTTCATTAAATGGGAATTTCTTAAATAGATTAGATCAGCTACTATAAAGTTTTGCGAAGATCTTAGTAAAAAGAAAAAACTTTTTGAAAGTAATCTGTTCCATGAAAAAGTCAGTGTTGTAATTCTCCTGATGCACATAGCCAGACACTGATGGAATTACAGGCTAAATTGGATGATCTGTACCTTCAACGAGCTCAAGGTGCATTTATCAGTTCAAGAGCCAAGTGGATTGAAGCTGGTGAAAAGAATTCCTCTAATTTAATCATTTAGAAAAAAGTCAACAGCAAAAGAATTCTATAAGTAGTTTGATAGTTAATGATGTAGAGTGTACAGACAGTAAGGTTATAGCAAAAGAGGTTTTTACATTTTTCTCCAATATATATTCTAGTTCTTATTCTAGAGTAGATAAAGAATCTTTCTTTAGAAAGGTTAAAAAGAGTTAACAGCTAATATGAAGCAAGGATTAATGAAGGTGGATATATTCTATTTTTGTACTTTTATAAAGCTTTCGACTGTGTTGAACATCCCTTCATATTACAAACTCTGACTCATTTTGGTTTTGGACACAAGTTTATTGATGTCATTGAAATGTTATACAAAGATATCAATAGCCCAGTAGCCTTAGATCAAGTCACATGTTCAAGGTTTGAAATCAACAGAGGAATCAGACAAGGATGTGCTAGTTCACTGCTGTTGTTTATAATGGTTGCAGAGATGTTATCCCTTTTAATTAAGAACAGTGACATAGAAGGCATTAGTGTATTGGACAATCAATTGATAATAGGTCAACTGGCAGATGATACTACTCTATTCCGTAAAAATAGTAATTAGATTCCTTTAGCTCTACAACCCATAAACACTTTTTCTAAAGCCTCACGTTTACAATTAAATTTACATAAGTGTGAAATCTTATCTTTACATGATTATCCTCTCCAACCATTGTACAACATCAGAGTGCAAAAGCAAGTGAAATATTTAGGGGTTGTTATATGTAAAGACTAAACGGTGTCTGAGAAGATGAATATTCAGCATAATATAGACAAGTGTAAAACCATTGAAAATCGATGGTTAAAAAGGGACCTCACTATCTTTTGAAGAATCTTATTGACTAAAATGGACAGTTTCTCGGCTCATCTACCCAGCGTCATCTTTGCCCCAATCAGTTAATTTTATTAAAGCAATAAACAAAATTAATTATTATTTTATATGGAAGAACAAGTGTCACTACATTAGGAAAGAAGATATGGTTAAAAGTTATGAGGATGGAGGGGGAAACGTGACTGACTTTGGTGTTATAAATGGTGTTTTAAAATTAAAATGGTTAAAGTCTCATATAAATAATAAGCAATCTTTTTGGTATATTATCCCTAATTTTATATTTCAAAATTTTGGAGGAATTGACTTTTTATTATGTTGTGATTTTGACTGTAACAGACTACATATCAAACTTTCTGATTTTCATCAACAAGTTCTTCTTGTTTAGAAATATACATATATATGTATATCAATAATATTGTTCAACCTGGATGATTATGGCATTGTGTATTTAATGTAATATTTTGCATGTTTGATTGTACTTATGTTAAATAAAGTTTGGGGGGGGGGCAGTTTTCAGGATCAGATTAAGCTGTTAATAAGCGAATGCTTATTTTGCACCAGAAAAAAATATATTAAGATTAGCAGAAGGTTTGAAATAACAAAAGGAGACTGGGGTAGGTCATCTAGAGGATTTCTGATGTACAGCAACTTGCTTTTTAGGATCATAGTGAACCGCTCATAACCGAATGGTTCTTTTGCACCAAAAACAATAATTTAAAATTAGGCCAAACTTATCGCTGATAAAATCTGATGGGGACTAGGTCCGCAAGAGGATTCTTTTATGCAGAGCAACTTGTTTTAGCACAATAGAGTAAACCATTCGGAAGCTGCTGATTATGTTTCATTACAAAACATAAAAATTACTGAAAATGAAGAGAAAGTCGAAGCTGACCTGATAAGAGGTGGAGTAAGCCTTCTACGTACCAAGTGACTTCATTTTGCTATTTGTGTTACGCTGCAATGAACCGTTAAAAGGTTTTTTTTTTATAGAATTTCATATCCCCAATTGAAAGACAAGTAATTTGGAGATGGTCCCTTATCTCATGTTCGGGAGTAGACTTTCATAGAGATCAATGCATTTTATAAATGTTACAACACACGTTAGGATCCTTCAGAATGAATTGAGAACAGTTTTGCATTGCTTTTTTAACAGTCCCCAGTGATGTGACCCCATCCACAAGCCTCCCTCCTCTTGTGGAGGGTCAGCTCCGATGTTTCCTCAGGGTTACTGTAAGTCGTGTCCTTTGGATCTCAAAGCCCCCCGTGGCAGCTGTATTCAGGCTGCGATGGTGGGGTGAGTCATCCAATGGAACCCACTTTTACCCACGTGATGGATCTCGGTTGGAGCAGAAGAAGACCACAGCCCGCTTTGCCATCCGCTGTGGAGCGAAGCAGTTCACCTCCTACTTGACAGGTTATGTTTTCACATATTAGCTTACAGTCGGTCCTTTCTTTTTCTCTGAATACATTACTCTCCTGTTGTGGAGTATGCTTTCAGGCAAAGCAGATTACATGGATTGCAAGTCTAAACTTGTATTAAGTAAAATTTTATAACTGAATTAGGTTAAAACTAAGCACCTGAACTCCCTAGTCCCTTTTAGGTTCAGTTGTTATGTACATTGAATTATTTAATAGAGTCTTTTTAAAAAAATACTTCTGATTATACAATTTTCATGAATATTGGCAACATATTTTTTACAGATATGGGTACTTTGGTCCTAGAAGCATTGTCGAAGATGGATCATTTGCCAGTAGCTCGGGTTCAGATTCCTGGCATTGCCCGGCTTTCCCTGCATCATTCAATTAGTGGGCTTTACACATTAGTTTCTCCTACTACTGAAAAACTGGGAGAGTTACAGGTACATAATATAATAGAAATAATACATTTTCTGTGTAATTCTTAAATTTTTGCCCTTTGTCTTGATATCTTGGATCGAACTCATAATATCTTGATGGTTTATTCATTTTTTTTTTCTTCCATAATTTTGAATTGAATTGTCTTGTGTATTCTGCTGCTTTTACCTTGAACATGGTTTGATGTTTTTTTTTCCCTACTTTAATAACTTAATCTTTTTAATATGTGAAAAAAATCTAATGTAAATGTAGTTTTAGAGGAGAGCTGAAAGAAGTGTAGTCTCGAAGTTTTTCCTGAACCAACAGATATTGCTCATTAATGCATGTTTTGATTAACTCTCTCTGTAAAAGTGCCATGTCTGAAAAATGTATTTCCCTAATCTTTTGTCTTAGGTTTCTCTAGCTCTAGAGCCTCTGGTAGAAGCTTATGGCAGCAGCGGCAGCTCAGTACCTACCATAGGCATGAGTGCTGATGTGCCAGTTCCGGCTTTGGGCTTGATACCAAAGCCTGGGTCTCATTCAGGCCAAGGAGTGGCGCTGCCTTTATCCCATCACCTGTCAGTTGGCAGCTTTAATGAGGCGAGAAGTGCCAGTTCAGTCAACACTCCCAGGTAGGACATGCTTTGTTGGAGAACCTTTTTCTGTTACGTATGATGCAGGTCGTACAACACTTACACTGATACAGTGTCACGTGGACCATTTGATAGATTTGTGCATCCAAATCTGACTCTGCTTTATGGAGTTATTGTATTCCCGGTCTTTGGGGAATACATATAGTTTTAGCACCGGGTTGCCACCTTCTCTGCCTCCACGGACACTTTGGTATACAAGCCAGTAACTCAAACAACTGTTTAACAGATCTTTATTTCACAGGCATTGTATGGGTGAGAAATTAAAACTGCTAACATTTTGAGTCTGATCCCTTCAACATGGAAACATTCCTTCATATTGATAGCAAAAAAACATCACTTGACATTTAATGCCATCAAGACAATGGCGCAATAACTGTTTGATAAATATTGTTCAGATTTTGCAGAGGGATTGTACGGGTGCTAATAAAGTTTTGAGAGGAATACAATGCTGTCATTTTCATGCTGTACCAAATCTAGTTTACAATAACAACTGTAAATTTTCAATATATTTGCTATACATGTTGCCCAATGAAAAATATGATTAAAAGTTCTTTCCCCTGTAAAGGTAATAAAATTTTATCTGTGCTGATATCAGGCCATAGTCTTCCCTGTGATGGCTTATAATTTATATTATACCCTACATTATATTCTGTACTTCACATCATAGCTCCCAGATCATTTTGGCCATTACTGCTTTAGGATCTAAGTATGGATGCATGCAATATTTTGTTTAAAGAGACCAAAGCTAAAGAATGACCACCAGAATTGCATGGGTATGGAAGCCCGTTTCCGCCACCGGAGAAAAAAATAATATAAAATTAAAGTCGAAATTTCGACTTAGTTATCTCGGAACAAGTTTCTAGTTTTAATAACTTTTCACGGAAGTAAGGTGGTGCGTTTTTAATGACAAAATCTTGTTGCCAGTACACAGACAACGATGCACACCGATTATTTTTGCGCTTCAAACCATTTCGTGATTTGTGCAAAATCGTGTTAATAGCTAATATTATCGGTGCTGTCAGCTGTAATGACATGGTGGTTTAGCATTTTGGGCTCATGGCGACTGATGCACACCCCTTTGTTTCCCAGATTGCTTTACGTACAAATTTTAATTAATTTCTGAATGTTTGAATGTATCCGTATAATGTCCAATGGGACAATACATGAATGGGTTAACAACTTTAAAACTAGACAAGACAGGCACTTCTAGTGAAGTGTGCTTTGATCAGTGGACTACAGGGAAGAATGCACACCCCCTGGATTTTCAGAATAACTTTCTCTCTATCAGTTATTAATTATACATTGAATCCATATTACATGGCATAGGGGTAATGCACTAAAGGGTTAATAGCTCTGAAACAAAATGAGACAGCCATGTCCTATGCAGTGTGCATGGATCAGGGGAACCTGGGGGACAATGGACACCCCTTGGATTTTCAAGATCACGTTCTCTAAAACAGCTATTAATTAATACACTGTGTGCATATTACATGCCATCAGGGAAATGCACTAAAGGGTTAATTGCTCTGATACAAAATGAGACAGTCATGTCCTATGAAGTGTGCCTTGATCAGTGGAGTCAGGGGGCAATGCACACCCCTTGGACTTTCAAGATCACTTTCTGTCTAACAGTTTAATTATTACATCATATCCATATTACATGCCATTGCTCCATTTCATACATATTGACAGTTAATTGATAACACAAATTAATCCATAAGTAAGTTGTAAAGTGTGATTTAGGCAGTGCACCGTGGGACAAAGTAAACGTGGGACGAAGTAAATTCACAGCGGAATTGCTTGATTACGTGTTTCGTAATCGGTGTGCATTGTTGTCTGTGTACTGTACAACACGATTCTGTCATTAAAAACGCCCCACCAGCTCAACTTCCGTGAAAAGTTATTAGTTCTCGAAACAAGTTTCTAGCTTTATCTCAAAATTTCGACTTAGTATCTCGAAATACGAGATACTAAGTCGAAATTTCGACTTTAATTTTATATTATTTTTTTCTCTGGTGGCGGAAACGGGCTTCCATACATGAGGGGTATATTATGTAGCTTAAAAAATGTATTGGCCTGTTCAGATTAGTTATGAAGATACTACCAATTGGATAATACCTAAGTATGTTTTGGTAACCCCTTCTATGACTGACAGTAGAATACAGTAGAACCTTGGAACTTAAACGACTCTTAACTTGACCAACTCAGACATCGAATGAGCCTGTTGAATTTTTTTTGACTGGTACCTCAATTGAAATCTTGGAACTTGACCATTGCTGCTAAAACTTGTATGGGTCGAGATGCGTTCAACTCTACCAATACGGACCTCAAACAGGTTTGTCAAGAAAAATCTAACCACAACTCGAACGTAAACTCGGAACACGACAAAACAAAACAGACCTGCTAAAATAAGCCATACTGATAATCTCCTTACCAAATTAAAAAAATAATAATAATAATAATAATAATTGATACTTTAATTGATTCCGTGGGGAAATTGTCTTTTGACACCTCCCTCAGCTTGCTCTTTGTAGAGTAAGCTGCAGTGTTGATTTTGTTGACGAAAAATTTTCGTCATTTATTGTCAACGACCTTTATTTTCAAACTGAAATGAGACGATATAATTAAATAAAAATTATTTCGCGACGCCTAAGTATGACGGAGTGTATTGACAATTTCGCAAACGAATAAAAACTAGATGAAAATGTTTGTCAGAGATGAGATACAATCAGAACTAATGTAGTTCACGTACAGGGATCAGTTAGAGAAAATTTCTTGAAGCAAAGGTCCAAAAGATCATAATGCCCCACTATTTAGTGTGATATATTTTTAAGTAGCCTATTAGTTGTATCAACATCTACTAAATAAAGGTAGAGCTGTATTTCAAAATAAGAAAATAAATAAAATGTGAAAATTGTGCATGTTTAAATAAAGTGATTAATTTAAGCCTTAACATAATACAGTCGTGTCTATGTCATATATTTTAGTGTTCATGGATTTAAGTATTGGTTTTCTATAATCCCACACCGGTAATAAAGTTAAAGTCTCGTTTTAATATGAATACATACGAACTTATCACTGTTAGATTTCGAAAAGATAGAAAACATGACGTGTTTTTCTCATATTCGTTTTATATTTGTCGGAGTAACAACGCAAACGGAATGACAAGCCGTTTCATCCAAAAACATCGCATTTTACTTTTTATTTCAAATAAAACGCGGAGTTGCCAACTTCGGCCAGCAGGCTGCAGTGAGATTTTCAGTTCGATATGTACATGTAACAGTTCTTACCTTGTAAATAGTCTGCTTCTGTATTTAACCGTGTAAATACACTTTGGACGTAGCTATAATTTTAGGTTTATAATAGTATAATATAGATTTGCCGTAAGATGTCTTAAAGCGTCAGTGTCATGCCAGATTCTTGAGATTTGGCAACCCTGAAAAATTTTTGTTTCACCTGAGTTGATTTATATAACAAATAACATTAATTTATACAGTTGTTAAAAAGCAGGAACCTCAACAAACATGAAATCACCAATAAACTACCTCTACAAATATATTTTTTAATATTTCTATTTTAATATTCAGAGAGAACAGGCCTGGTGGCATTATAGCCTATGCACTTTGAAGTGATTTTATTTTTGCAATAATGGCACTACTGATTTTACATTACTCAGTTTCTGGGTAAATAAACACATGTTTGTGTTTCAAATAAGAGTGAAATCTGTGTCTTTGTGTACTGCACAGTCAGACCTTAATACCATCCCTTTACATTGGCTTCATTTCATCTTGGTGAACATAATGACTTTCTGACGTCAAAGGGAAACTTTAAACATTACACTTTACACTTTTAATTTTAGTCGACTGAATCAACTGTAGTTTTAGTAGACTGTAATCTTATGATATTTAGTCAACTAAAACTAGACTAAAACTAAAATAATTTAGATGACTAAATTATAACTGAAACTAAATTACATTTTAGTCAAAAGACTATGACTAAAACTCAATAAAAATTTGCTGTAAAAATTTACAAAATGCTTTGTCTGTCATCTGAAGCCCTTGTGATTATTGCACAAGCACGATATGATATTGATATGTCGCCCAGCCCTATCCATAAAACATTATAAACATGGCTATAAATATTTATAAAAAGGCGTAATGCATTATAGCCATGTTTGTTATGCATTATGAATGTTTTGTGAAACTTATCTATAATGCAGTATAGATACAGTACCTTCATAATACAATTCAAAGCATCTTTAATTCTTGTACCAACCATTATAAATATTATGAAGGTATCTATAGTGCATTATAGGTGAAAGCTCCATTGGAGCATATGAAGTATTATAATGCATCACTATAATGCATTATAACTGTCAATAGAAGATGCTGTAATGCTTTTTAAATTCTTATACTGACTATTATAATGCTTCATGATGGTATTAGTTATGAACATGCATGGATATTATCTAATTGGTAGAATGTGTTGGTAACACTTTGGATGAAATCTAAGAACACATTCATAACACATTATAATTCGTTCATAAAGTATTATAAACATTATACATATAAATATTTGTAAATAGGCATAACACATTATGGCCATGTTTGTTATGCATTTTGAATGCCTTGTGAAGCTCTCATCTATAATGCAGGATAGAGTCCCTTCATAATGTAGCGCAAAGCATCTTTAATTCTTATACTGACCATTATAATTCATTATGAAGGTATGTGTAACGGATTATAGATAACACATTTAAGTAAAGTGTTACCTATGTGTTTTCCAGAGGCAAGGACCACATGTACTTCCAAGAAAAAACCTGTAGCCAAAAGGGGGTTCAGTTTTCTGAAACCAAAGCAGAAGTTTTGGGCAGTTTAAGGCCCATGTCAAGCAGGTCTCCTCGTCGTGAGGAGACAGCAGTCCAGAAATCTCTTCACAGGCCGGACACAAGTCATGAGAACTCCACAGACATCCTTTCAGGTTTGGCCTCATAGTCTCTGGCGCAGACACCATTGTAAATTTTCTTCAGTTGGTTTGGATGGCTTTGTTATCCACATTGGAATATTTTTATATTGACTGTATTGAGGGAAGATGTAAAGAAGTAAAATGAGGTTTAAAAATCAGTTTTGATTGTTCTTAGAAGTGAGATGCGTCTACATTTTTCCTTTCTCAGTTCTTCTGGAGCGTGGTAACAGGCTTAGAGATGCCATGGTGGTGTCATCCCTGAAGTCTGACTTGGATTCTAAGTTTGTTCTGAAGGATATTCCACTTCTTGTGCCAAAGGACAATGTTGGCACCCTGCCTGCGTTGTATGTACAAAAAGCTTCAAAAGCTCTAATTTCAAAGCTCTTGTTCTGAACAGCCTCAGTCCTGCTGATTTTCTAGATCTGAGTTATGAATACCATTTTGATGACTGTGTATCCAAACTGATGATAAATTCTGATTTTAATAAAAACAAGTAGGCCAATTTAGTTTAAAATAAGCAAGACTTTTCTTATTTTAGGACGTTTCTTTAATTTGATGGCGTCCTGGTTACTGTTTATAAGGGCGCCCCAACAGGTGGCTGCCCTTCGCAGACCGCTTGTTCTACAAAACAGCAAGTTGATGGAGGCGTAAAAAGAATTTCCCCATGAGGGACAATAAAGGTTAAATTAAATTAATTATAAGAGTTCATTTTGATATGTAACATTGTTTGCTTGTATTTGTTTTAAGGCCATCCTTGGCCGCCTCAGGGAAGTTGCTACTGGATGCCCCACACTGTGACCCCAGCTTCTCATGTACTCAGAGGGACCTGCTGTTCCCTGAGAACCCCAGTTATGACCGGGCCCCTGACACAGAGAATCGGGCTATTGAACTCCTCCTGGGCAGGTGCCTTCGCTTTCTATGCAGCTTGCATTACTCTCTGTCCCATGACCTATTCATGAAGACGCTGAAATCTAATTTATAGAACTTATTGATATTTCTTGACAATTGTGTGTTTTCCTCTATTTTTTTTTCAGCTCAAGTGTTTCAGCATTTCCAGTCTGGGATGGAGAGGGCTCTCCCCCAGAAATCTTTTCTGGGGCCAGCAGTGTGTCTGCAGACAGTGACTTGGGTGACCCTCAGTATGACCAGAGTCTTTTGGAGAACCTATTCTACAAAGCCCCCGTGAGTATGTCGGCCCCTTGTGAAAACCCCCCTGACATCTTGCTCTGGGGACTGTACCTCACTTACAGCACTGCTGCAGGGCAGTTTAGCTTCATACTTGTTGCAGTCAGGATGTCACAACAAGAAACAGGAATTCAGAGGTTTTGAGAATTTTAATATTTCCACTTTTTCCATTAAAGACTTTTATGATTTCTAACATAACAAACTTTCATGATAAACATGTCCTAAATGGTAGAATTGAGATTTTATGAAGTTAATGCTCTTTTCCCTGATGCATAGAAATTGGACAGCAGTCAAAGTGAGGAGGAAGGTATATTCTTGAGGAAAAAACAACAGAAGAAAGGAAAGGAGCCAATGACAGAGAAGCTGAGAAAACCTGCCGGCAAGACATGTAGCGGGTGAATTGTCTCTATCTGGTGCTTTATGTAACTTGAATGTATCAAGTATAAAATTATTCAATTACTAGACATTAAATCTCTGAATCTTCTCCATATCAGACACAACCTATATTTTGAAAAAATAGCTATTCTTAACAACCTGGAAAAAGAAGAGACTACAGAGGCTGAGAGTATACCCAGCCTGAGCGTGGAGCAGATCACATTCCTGAGTGAGGTAGAAACGGCCAGATTGGTCATCCACACTCTAAAGGTCCCTAAGAAGGCTGGCCTGTCAGGGTCCCTGAAGACCCCCAGCCAAGGGAAGTCACTTCGGCCTTTTCCTAACAAGAGGTGGTAAGGCATACAGTTCTGTGTGTTTTTTAACATTTCTAGCTAGACACAGCAAATTCTGTGACTGCAGGATAAATATTCTGGAGCTAGGCTATCCTTCTGTGTTTGTTTTCCAGCACATATTTTGTGGAGTATCTCTTCCCTGTGGCTTCCACCAAACACAGTAGCAGTACACCAAGTACAAAACTAACCAGAGTTGCTTCTTCTAAAGTTGCAGAAGGGGGTATGTTTTTTATATACAGTATATATATATATTTTTTTTTTTACATTTTTGCTCTGGTGACTGTTTAGTCCATTTCCTATCTGTCAGATGTTCAACTGCAAACTTCTGAAAAGCTGTATTTGTTCTTCCCTTGTGTTTTTATTTCAGTTATAAATTTCCAGCGTCAGTGTGTCTTCCCAGTCCAGTTTGACAGTTCAGTAATTAAGCAGTGGTGGAACACAGACTTGAAATTTACCATCTACTCAAGGAAAGATTCTGAGAAGAAGGTATGTTGATTTGATTTTTGAACAGATCAGACTTTGTTAGACTGTTTTTTGAAGGTTGAAATAGGATTGTAGGTGGGCAGAAAAATTCTCAGTGGTTGAGAATATCCATGATCTTTGAACAGATTATTATTATTATTATTATTATTATTGTTATTATTACAGACACGCCTCTACTTACAAACTTTCAGACATACGAACAAAGAGGACTGTAAGTCCAAATTGTGTTCGTTGGGCTCCCGTTTCCTGTCAGCAACATAAATTTTTTTCTGCCAATTCTGCCTAGTACGACTTCTGGCCGCTACTCCCGCCGTGCAGCATCGTAGCGTGCGTACTCCCAGCATCCTAGTTCTTTGTACTTGCGTATACCCTTAAAATGATATCAGAATAACAACTTACGAACATTTCAAGTTATGAATAGCCGTTCAGATGGTAACTCGTTCGTAAGTAGAGGAGCGTCTGTATTATTATTTTATTAGAGTTGCACAATGCAATACACATGTCATACACATGTAATTGTCATATTGCAAGGACTATGATAGAGGACTGGGTTAAGACAATAAGTTGCGCTAAAATCAGGATGCACCAATTGCATTTACTTTGGACTATCCTTATTGTCGTTTTTAATCCAGACTTGCCAATAACAATCCTGGACAATTTCAGATTTTCTTAGCTTGTTAATAATTAGCAGGCTAAACATTTAACACTTGGTTGATGAATTTAGTTTTCTGCAAGAAAAATACTTTGAATGACCTTTCCAAATAAAAATGGCTCTGCGAGTGTGAAATTAATTTGGTCATTCCAAATGGTCATGGGGCAGTTCTTCCACAGACAAGTTTTTGTGAATGTAATGTCTTTGTCCCACAGTGTAAAGAATCTCCAAGTAACAGGCATGTTTCCTATAAGTGTTTACTTCACCTATCACACAACATTAATGGGGGAGGGGTTGGTGATTGTGAGGGGCTGGGACACAACTGTGGATGGAAACTGAGTTGGAACAAAAACATTAGTTGGTAAACTACTGGTTTGGCTCATAAAATTGGCCATATTCATACTGACTTGCCAATTGCAAAATTTCTGATATTAGTTGATTGATTGGTGCATCTTTAGCTAAAATATGTTACGCTATCATTAAAACTGTCACAATTATAAATTTTACTGAATAATGGTCATAAAAATGTGATTAATGATGTAATTGTCATGTTCTGTTCACTTTATGCCACTGTTATAGCGGAAGCTTCACAGTAGCGTAATAACGAAAGTGCACCTTATGAAGTACAACAGCCGTTTCCTAGCAAAGAACGCTTGGCTAAATAAAGAAAATACAACATATACTTACCTTTTTGTAAACAAAAGCAATATTTGCCTTTCAAGCATTGTAAACAAATTGCAGAGTATGTACAGTGGATATAAAGTCTACACACCCTGGCTAAAATGGCAGATTTCTGTATGATTAAAAAAAATGAAACCAAGATAAATTGTCAGAATGTATTCCACCTTTATTAAAAAATTGCAGCCCGCACAAAGTGAAAACAAATCAAACTGTTAAAAAAAAAAAAAAAAAAAAAAAAAAAATAAAAATACGAAAACCCGGCAGCATAATTGTGCACAACCTTTAAAAATCAAGGATGTGGCCGTATCCAGAATCAAGCAATCACATTCAGTCTCATCTTAAATAGTAGTTAGTATACACCTGATAGGAATTAAAATAACTCTGAATGACTCCAGCAGGATTATTCTGATATCCTCTTGGTTGCGTCATACTCCAAAACTCATGGTCAAAGGCTCAAAGAGCTCCTCCTAAATGGACTCAGTCCTTC